AGGAACCAGCCCTCGTGAGTGCTGGGGAGGATGGCACCCAAGCGGAAGCCTGTTGGTGGAGGGTCCTGTGTGCCAAGTTAAGGCAAACAATCTCCTAAAAGCCACAGGGACCTTTCAAAGTATTATATGCAAAGAAGGGTCATGGTCAGATATGTACTGGAGGCAGAATACTTACAGCCCAAACCCTGAGACGATCCCACTGTCCTGAAGAATAACACACGACCTCAGGCCTCACTTGAGAACACACTGACCGAAGCTAGTTTCGCAGGGGCTCTGCTTCTCAAGGGCCTTCAACTGGAGAGAGTCAGTACGAGGACAGGTTTTCGCGTGGACACTCTCCTAAAATCTTGTTCTGAGCTGACATGAGCAATTTAAGTCCCTCCCTTTTGCGGCAATGATCTCTCAAGGGGTGTGTGTGTGTGTGTGCATGTGTGTGCGTATTAATTACTCATTCCCACCAACGATTCTAGTGGTATAACAAATCACTAAAGTTTCTAATCAAGCTAAGTTAATTTGTGTCCCTCATTTGGGTTGAAATAATTCCATTATATACATAAATACATTTTTTTCTTTAGGTCCTTGCTTTTATTTACTTGGTCCCTTGAAGTTCATATTGAAGCTAGGCCGTGCAGAACCCACTTTAATCATGTCTATTCTTGATGATTCCTCGGGATCTAGGGCTGGGTAAACAAAAGAAGAACCTCTAATTAGGACAGTTTCTCCTTCAACCTGTACCTCATCCCAGCATCATCATTGTTAAGACTGGACACTGTGCCTTTAAGACCTGTATCACTTTCCCATCTCTTGGTCCATTCCAATGTTTGATCACACCCAGCTCTTGACTGAGGCAGTCTTAAAGGAAGTCATATCTCCAGTTTATAAATGGGGAAACTGAGGCACACCAAGGGCAGACCAGGAGGGTGAATCCAGGCCTTCTAACTTCAAGGATGAGAACTCTTAACAGTAGCTTGAATCCCAGCGTTGCTTATACTTGAAGGTAAGCTCAACTCATTTCCCTAAGACCTGGCTTTCTGAGCTTTCAAATAGGGGTGAGGATCTCTGCCTCTCTGCCTGTCTTCGGACACGCCTCAGGAATGCGGAGGCATGGCATTTCAGCTCCGTGGTGCAGACCCACAGAAACTGAGGATTAGGTAATGAGAAGCAAGATCAGCTGCGTCCATCCACGTACAGCGTCCACTGGCCTCCGGCTAAGGAGCTGAGCTTGTTTCTTCCAAAAGGAGCAGCACGTGTTTTTCAAATAAAAGCTCAACCGTGGCAGACAGACTTGGGAGTGCCTCCCCGACCCCACATCAGGACTCCTGGGCGGATAGAGCAGGTTTCTAAATGTGTCACCACACGAAAGGGGAGGAATCTGACTTGAGGAGTTCCCTTATGTCGGGAGAGGGTGGGCTGGGATAGAGGAGTCAATCTGCCCAGCACAGTCCACTGTAGTCCAGTCACCACTGGTGTCTCAACAGCTTCCCCTTCACCCTAACACCCAGCGGAGAAAAATACTTTTCAAAGAGCACAGTGTTTAAACCCTGGACAAGGGTACGTGCATCAGGGGCACCAAATGTTAGTCATTCATTCATCAACCGGCACGCACTGGGAGTCTGATAGTTTTCACTCTGCCCTCCCAGTGGGATGTGTTCTGTGTGCTTCCTAGTTACTCCCTCCCGGGAAGACAGGTGGCAAGGTGAGCATTTGACTTCAGCCTCTTTTCACTGCAACCTGCTCGGCTCCCAGCACAAAGCGCTCAAGGAGCACCAAGCCGGTGGATGTCCTGACGCAGACAGGCTGGTTTTGTTCAGCCTTGTTGTCGCTGCCTTTGTTTTCCTGGCCACACATTTGTATTCCGTTCCGTTCCTCACCACGGAGGAGAGAGGGACAGAGAATTCCCCAGGTGGAGACTGGCAGATGTAGCTGAAGGGCCCTGGGGCTCTAGCAAGAGAAGCTGAATAACACAGCCCAAGGATGTTGTTTAAGAAAAAGGGACTCAGAGTAGCTTGATCAGCAAAATATTGGGGCAGAAACCAGGCATCTTCCCCCTCCCCTCTCTCGTTCTTCTCTTCATCTCTCTCTCCTATCTCTCTTTAAACTCTGTCTCTCCCAATGTATCCGTACATCAACGATCTGTCTATTTGGGTACCTACTTACCTCCCTTTATCTACCTCTTCCTCTCCTCCATTCCCAGGCGCACCAATACGGTAAGGTCTCAGACATAATCAGGAGGACACCAGCCTTCATGAGAATTCACCTCTAGCCCCTACTCCTGACACTCTGTGGTCTCCTTGCTGAGGGAGTAAATTAGTCACCTTCAGAGAATCGATCTCCTACAATCTTATCATAATCTCACCCTCTTGTCTTCCTATTGGAAGAGGAGAAAGGCACTACCAAGAGTCCGGCAGCCCCACAGTCTCATCTGCAAGAGGCTGTGCTTTCCTTATTTCATTGTTCGGGGGGGACCTCTCTGCTGGGGGTCAATGGCCAGGCTTCTGCGTCTAGCTCTGCAGACCCCTAACCTGCTGTGGCTCTTGGTGTTCCATGAGCCCTGTGCACATCTCCAGAAGCCACTGTAACAACACCGGGGAAGGACTATTATCTCCATCCCTTTATGGATGAGGGAAATGAAGTTCAGAGAAGTTAGGTTACTCTATTTCAGTCCTAGGATTTGAAACTGGCTTTGCCTGATGCCCAAACCTATGCTTTTGGCAATCCCCTGCGTTGGGTTTCGAAGGAGTGAGTTCTGCGTTGATGGCTGGTCACTCTCCCGTGGGGCCCGAGTTTTACTCTGTGTACATTGGCCATGCTTACCAGGACGCCGGAGCTCCCAAGAAGTGCTGAGCTTCTCTTCTCGCAGTAGCGAGGCGTGCTACTGGTCACTGGAGTCCTCAGCTGGCTCCGACCCCTCCTTAAATAATTGAATTATAACGCATTGACTTAGTCTGGCTCTTTTGATAGTATTTCACTATGTGAGCTGCAGAAATAAACAAGGGATTTGGGAGCTTGGAAGGGGCTCAACATTCCTGCTGCCCCTGAATTCACGGACTCCTTTTTCAGATAGCATCCCAGCGGTCCAAGCCTTGTATCTGCTCGGCCGGGTTCTCTCCGCGGCAGGGAAGCCTTCTCGAAAGTGTCTCTGGTGAGAAGTGACTTCACAAGCTGACTCGACCCAGGCACTCAGAAGTAAATTCGCCTCCCATTATTTTAGAATGTGCAAAGCTCGTTTGTGTCCATTTGCTAAGTGAGTCCTGTGGCCATCCTGAGAGGTTATCCCGGCTGGGACAGTCATGTGTTACAGATGGGAGGCCAGGGGCTGAGCAGGGAAGATAATTATGCATAGTTTTACAGCTAACATAAGGGACAGAAGTCAAACCCTGCTTTGAAATGGGCTGCAACTCCCTGATTCTGGAGTAAATAGGGGAAAGATGTCCTAGATCAAGCGGTGTCCTTAGGGGGACTGTGTATTCTGATTTGCCTGGGAAATTCGGCTTTTCCCAGGACACCTGCCTGTTGCCTGGACATAGTTCTCATAGAGTCTCTATCACTTTCGAAGTGCAGTTGACTAGTTGTACGGGTCACCCGAGACCCTGGGTAGGGACTGGATTCCAAGGAGCTCAGTCGTTCAGAGGTGGCCCAGCATGTAGCCATAGTGGCAGCTCCGTGTGATACACGTCACGGTGGGATCTTCATGAGCGAGGAACCCACGCGGGAAGGGATATTGAACTGTGCTAGAGGCATTGAGAAACCAGCACAAAGCCCCTGACACTCGAGAGGTTTGAATAGAGGCAGGATCATCTCTTGGACGGCCTCATCTAGATTTCTCCCTGTGTTATTCGGTATTGAATTTCCGAGAAACATGCGTAGGTTCCCACCTGCTCAGAAGGCATCTCGCTCACCCTGTGCTTCCGCGGCCCCAAGCAGAGATTGTTGCGACGATTTGAATTCCATGGGGGCTTGGTTGACCTTCCATGAAGTGCCTTAGGTATCTAACAAGCCCGTAGAACCTAGAGCCTTAGACAGGAAGGGCTCCTAGGACCCCGGTGGTCTAACCCCCTTCTCTGTAACAATGATAACGGAGCCCAGAGAGGAACGGAGTCTTGTCTAAGGTAGCAGAGCGGTTGACTTACGGGGCTGGGACTGAAAGCAGCCTCTCTCGTCCGTAAATCCACTCTCCGCGAGAACCTGAAAACCTCTTAGGAGTTCGGTAACCCTCAGTTTGCGACCGTGGAGTTCTGCGGAGTCCGAGAATGTACCCAGAACTTGGAAAGTGAAAGTCTGAACGTAAAACCAGGAGCCAGCATTACCACACTGTGTGACCTTGGGCGAATCATTAATGGCACGTGAGATCTTGCTTTCCTCATCTGAACGACTGAAATAGTAATTAAGATAATGTCACCTTCCTCACCAGTTGGCTGTGGGCTTACTTGGAATCATGGAGGTGGAAGTGTTTAGGAGCTTGTGTGTGTGTGTGTGCATGTGTGTGCACACACATGTATGTGTGCGTGTGGTAGAGAACACGTAAGATCTACCCTCCTAACAAAATGTTAGTTGTGCAGTACAGTGTCATTCAGTATATAACACAGTGTCACTCAGCAGATCTCTGGAACTTAATCACCTCGCATAACTGAAATTGTATACCCACGGAACAGTCATTCTCCATCTCCCCTCCCCCAGCCCCTGGCAACCACCAGTGTAGTGTCTCCTCTGTATAAAGTTGGACTACTTTATGTATCTCACATACATGGAATCACACAGTATGTGTCCTTTCAGGGCTGGCTTATTTCACTTACTGCAACGTCCTCCCCCTTCATGTTGTCACATCCGGCGGGAGCTCCTTCTTTTTTTTAAAGACTGAATATTAATCCGTTGTGATGATCAGTGATGGGCTTTAACAGTGCTGGCGATTCTGCTGGTCTGGTTCCACGGCTGCTGCTGATAACCGCGACCGAAGAGCAAATATCTATCCGTTCTCTCCCTTCTTTGCCTACCTCCTGCAGACGAACCCAGCCGGTGCTATTTCCATGATGGTGATGGGGTATGTGAGGAGTTTGAACAAAAAACAAGCATCAAGGACTGTGGTGTCTACACGCCCCAGGGGTTCCGAGACCAGTGGGCGTCCAATGCTTCGGTTTCCCATCAAGACCAGCAGTGTCCAGGCTGGGTCATCATTGGCCAGCCGGCGGCATCCCAGGTAAGACCCCAGCCGTGAGCAGCATTTCCTGCAGATATTCTGAATCTCTCTTAGGCCCCTCAGGGTTTTCTACCTCCAAGGCTGTGGCCACCTGACCATCTCTCTACCCAGAAGTAATCCCAGGGCTTTATCCTCTTCTCAGGGATTAGACATGGAGTAGCCGAGCACAGGGGACACCAGGGTAATACGAGTAATGACTGCCCTGTGTCCCTACCTGTTGCAATTCATATTTGGGGAAAGAATTCCATTTTGGACGTACCACTGGAGTTCAGTGGGGCAAGAACACATTCTTTTGGGGGAGCCTCACATTTTGAGTTGGGGTGTGTGTGTGTGTGCCCCTTCAACACTCTCCAGTAAAAATGCTGTGTCGCCTTGGACCAGTCTCCCCACCTCTCTGGCCCCCATTTCCCCCCACCTTTAAATTAGAGAGTAGTTCAGCTTGATGATCTCCAAGGACCTTCCCAACTCTTAAAAGCTGTGACTCATCCCCCAGTCCCCTAATGCACTATTTATGTCCCAGGGTTCTTCCCCAAAGGACTTTCGGCTGAGTTGAGGGAGTAAGAGTGTTGGGGCCACCAGAGCTTGTGTGATTCTAGGGATGGTTGTGCCCTCCCCAGAGCCCCCCCCTCCAATTATCCCGCTGAGCACACATCTGCCTTCTGAGACTTCCATTTCCCAGAGACACCGCTCGGCACCTCTGGCCACCTGGCCATCTCTGAGGCCAGCCTGCCTCCTGCCTCGGAGGTGAGTCATTATTCTTAGCCATTTCTCGCTACTACTGTTTCCCCGACTCAGGGTCAGGGCAGGAGGCCTCATTTCTAGATAAAGAGAGATGTGACCTTCTTCTGGGGCCCAGTGAAAAAAAATCACTGGATGAGGTGCAGATGGGTACACTTCCTTTATAATGTTCATTTTTTAGTGTTTATCTGATTTGCTTGTGTTTTTTTTTTTATTTATCTATTTGCTTATGTTTATAGTCATTAGATTCTTTATGTATTCATTTGCATTTGTTTATGACTGAGGAGAGTGTATGGGAAGAAATGGGAGCACAGTATTCCCTCTTGTTTCTCATGGATAGTGCCAGCATGGTGAATGAATGAATAAGTGAATGAATGAATGAATGAGTGGATGAGTGAATGAATGAATGAGTGGATGAGTGAATGAATGAATAAGTGAATGAATGAATGAATGAGTAGATGAGTGAATGAGTGGATGAATGGATGAATGAATGAATGAATAAGTTAATGAATGAATGAATGAGTAGATGAGTGAATGAATGAATGAGTGGATGAATGGATGAATGAATGAATGAATGAATGTCTAGGGCTCACCCTACCCTGTGCCACCTCTGTAGTTGATGAATTCGTCTTTGATTACAGCCAATGAACTCTAATAATCTGTTTGTATATAGTTCAGCCTGACTCCCCCATTAGATGCTGGTTCCTTCATGACTGTTTTGAACTCTCCTCATCTCTGTCCCCTCATCTTCATCCACAAGATCTAGATAAGACTCAGTGCTCAGGAAACATGTGTTTCATTGACTGTAGATTCACGTGCACACACATCGCGTACACATCGCCATGTACAAATAAACACCGCTGAGAGAAAGGGTTCCAGAGTCACACCTCTGACGGATAATGCCCTGCTCAGGCTTGGCAGGGCTGGCTGGCAAGGAAGCCGGGAATTCCAAGTGCAACCCTGGCATCCAGCGCCTAGAAACGTTTAAAAAACATCATTCAAACAAGGGGATTATTAACACACTCAGAATCTCACATGAGGGAGAAGTGAGGTAGCAGCTGTGCTTAAAAACCACCCAAAGGTCATTGCTACGAATGTGAGAAAAGGAGGGAAAGACGTTTCCAGTCTGAGCATTTGAGAGAGACTTCACGGGGCGATTATTCCAGCTCTGCAAGGAGGGGGCTGTCAGGAATTATGGGCAATTATCTCTCCCTAAACAAAAATCCAATTTAAAAAAAAAATCATTATAAATACTACAAAGAAGAGATGAGGAAACAAAATCATCCTATTGAATTATTCATTGCAACCAATTTTATTTTAATGAAATCGACTAGGTTCCATTACTCTGGGCTTGGACATAATCTTTGTTACAAGGAGACTTCAGCTGTAACTAAATTTGCCATAATGAGATCAACTCACTGGAGAATACGGGGTCGTGGCGGGGATGTGTGTGCAGGCGGGGTGCAGAGCTGGGCGGGGCGGCCTGGAAGGCTATAGCACAGTCTCCTGAAGTCCCCCTCTGAAAGCAAATGCCTAGAGATCATTCCCACACCGCACCCCATCATGCACACACACGCACACACACACACGGAGCCGGTGTTTTTCTGAGTAAGGCTTTTTGTGGGGTGGGAACTAGCTCCTTCTGACAGCAGAGCAGAGGAGGATGAAGCATAACCATGGCCCTCATTACTTTGTGCAGTGATTAGAGGAGGCTGGTAGTTAATTTTCACCCTGTCAGGGCCTCCAGTGAAGAAGCTGATGGCCTGAGAGAAGGAGTTGGGAGGTACTTAGATGCACCTTCCCCCTACACAATTAAACTCTCCTCCTCCTCCTTCCTGGCTCACATGCACACATGCACACACAAACACGCATACACGTTCCTACAGCAACAGGCCACGTAGGAGCGTGGTTCCAGAGAGTGGAAACCAAAGCAGATACAGGAGAGCGGGGGAGGGGACAGGTGGTTATCCAGGCCCACCAGCCACCATGCTGGACGCTCGTGCACGTCTCGTAGCCCAGCCCGTTGCCCTCCCCTGAGCTAAGCGTGGCTTGGAGAAACTGAGAGGTGGAGTGGCTTCCGCAAGGTCACAGAGCCCACGAGTGGAGAATCTAGGATTCGAAGGAGCTCGTGGGAAAGGAGAGCAGAAGCTTAGGGACAGGTGGTCATGTTCAAAAGTTGGAAGTAACCGGATTCCTGGAAAGGAGCCCTGGGAGCCAGCAGAAAGAATCGTAGCTGGACGGAGCTGACGGTCGGTGTCCCTGGGCAGACCCCAGGACATCCTGGAATTCTCCCCTGCCAGACTCAGGGTCACTGCCCATAGCTCTGAGCTCAGAGTGCTTCCGCCCCGTCTAGGTGGTCCCGTTGCCTGGGCCCCTGGTGCTCACTGGGACATCCATTCACTTGGGCAGGGATGAAATGACTTCGCTGTGTCCCCTTTTCTCTTTACAAAGAGCTTCAACCCCCTCTGTCTTTCCCTGGTGCTGGAAAAATGGCAAATGCAAGCGTCTCTTGGAGTTTTGTGCCTAGCTCTGTGCTGGTGTGTGTGGAAGAAACCAAACACAGCGGAAGACCCAACCTCTGACCTTGTTGGTGAGCAAGACTTAGGCATGAGCGTTCCGTGAAGAGGAGGACCCCTGTCGGGAAAAATGGGCAGGTTCTCACCGTGAAATTGATGAGAACGTCATTTCTGATTTTGGAGAAGCCCTCCACTTCTAACAGTTTCTCATCTCTCTCGTCCATGCTCCTCAAGCAAGATTCCCACATTTGTTTAGGGGGAAGTTGCTCCACCTGGAACATTTAGTCTTATTACCAGAAGTATCAACACTTTCTGGGGGTGCAAATTGGACTGAACATCCTATAATAAGAGCCATTCTTTGGATCTTTGGGCCATGCACCTTCCCGGTCTAGCTGGAATTCAAGAAGTCCCCGAGACAGAACAAAAAATGGAAAAGAAGCCAAAGAATCGAGTTCTCTGTCTTCCAGGAACTTCAGAAATCGATCGGTTTAAAGGCGCTTTTGCAAAGATCTTGTCCTGTTCTTCCTTGGTCTCCATGTTTCATGTCTCTAGTGCCTCTCCCCAAAGGCTGCCAAAATGAGGTGCCGCTATCCCTTCACCCTGTCCCACCCCCAGCATTTCTACCATGTCCTCTTCCCAGGCGGGCTCCTCTCGCCCCCTGCAGCAGCTGAGGAAGAAAAGAGAACACTGTTGGGAACGTGCACCGTTCTCCCAGGAATTACGGACCTTCAGTCAACCAACCAATGTATGTGCTTAATGCTCGAAGGCTAAGACGTAGACGGAGCATGTCTGGGGCAGTGGTCTCGGGGCCAACGTAAAGAAAACCTCTGAGAACGAGACCTCTTGGCAGGAGGGTGGTGGGCCCTCTGACAGGGCAGCTGCCATCAGGAGGTGTTCGGGGGAGCTGTGCGCGACAGGAGAGTCCTGCGGAGAGACCGACACATCCCCGCTGCCTGTGTAATTGCGTCTCCAGCTGCGTGTTCCGTCAACCCCTTCATGGGACCTGGGTCCTGTGACACTCACTCGGCGTTGCTTTCCCTGTTTCTTGGCGTGTCTATAATACGTTGTGCCTCTATTAGAATACAAGTCACGGTGTGGCTTGTGTGACAGCAATTCTGTGTTAATCATTTATCCACTTGATCAAACCGAAGTGTGTTTGGATCCTGCCCTGAGACAGGTGAGGAGGTAGCGCGTGGGCACTGGGGGTGAGGTGGAAACCGTACAGATGGCTTTGCTCTCCTCTGGGAACCCCAGTGTCCTCCTCCGGAAAGAGGGAATGATCGCATCTACCTGGTGGAGATAAGGGGAATCTGAAAACAAAACCACTCAGCACCGGGAGTTTTTCCCCACTGACTGGGTAGTGCCGAGGTCGGTTCCCTCCCCCATTCACGGCAGGCTCCCCTCCGCACCCTCGCCCCTAGCCGGCCCAGGACCCACGCAGCATTCGGTCGAGTTACACGCACTTGTGTTAGCAAATGCTCCCTGCGCACTCAGCCTGTGCGGGGCACTCTGGGGGGGCCCGGCCTTTCTGCTGCCCTCACAGAGCTCGCCGCTTCATCAGAGGGGTGTGTGCACCCAGAAATCCCAGCCAAGACCAGACAGCGATGCAGGGGGAGGCCCCCAGGAAGGAACCACACTGCGAACGGCTTACTCAGCCAGCAGGGGTGTGAGCCCGCGTGGAGGGATGGAAAAGGCCTTTGCCCACTTTCAGAAGGTCCTGAACAAATTATAAAAATAACATTTACC